GCTCATTTTTTTTCTGCTTGCATGATTTTTTCCATCTATCTTTTCACTTTCAGTCTATGACCACTTTAGTGGTGGAATGAGTTTCTTGTAGGCAGCGTATCATTGGGTCTTATTTTCAACTCCATCGACCTGTTTACCAATTTTAACTGGGAAATTTAATCCAACAGGATAGGTTGCATTGGCTTTGATTCTAGATGAGTACTTTAGTGCATGTAGCTTCTTCGGCTATATTCAGTGTAGGTGATGTTGATGGTGTGTTTGTAGCCCAGGCTGCAGTGGTTTTTTAATTGTACCTAAATTCTCTTAGGTGGATTTGCTAGCAGCTCTGGGGTATAGTGTATTTGGTTGTGGGTGGGGTATACCTGTCAGTTTCTCCTGGTCATATGGTATTTCAGTTACTTGAGAAGGCCTAGAAAGCATGGCAGCCAAATAATGATTCCTGTCTATTTGCAAGTGTCTGAGCACTCCACAGGGGCTGGGTAGCACCAATGGGCCCAGAAGGGGTATTTGTGTGTGACCAAAGGTATTACTGGCAGTGCTAAAGTAGGCTGTCTGTGTGCTTCTCACGGATCCAGTAGGTGGAGAGTCAGAGGATGCACATCCTGGTTGCTTCTTGGAGCTGCAGGAGGACAGGCAGACCACAGAGCTGTTTCCTTGGGAGCTTGACCAGCTACACTGCTCAGTGCTGGTTGTCATTCTGCCTTCAGAGCTCAGTTGGATAAACTGCTGGGATGGGTGTCCCACTGCTTCTCAGGATCCTAAGTGGGCAAAGCCTAAAGATAGTACAGGAACCTCTGAGGAGGAAGGCAGAGGATGGCTGGGTTTGTTCTCCATGGCAACACAGTGGTAGCTCCCAGGCTGGGCTCAGGACCTGTGCAAGGTACGGTTTAAAGCTCTCACAGTAAATGTTGCAGGTGTCAATGGCCTGAGGGAAAACTGTGGAGGGGCAAGGGGGTGGCGGAAGCTGCTTACTCTTTCCCCACCAAGTGATTCAACTTGATTTTAAGAGATGGGACAGAAGATTGTATATATTTTGTTTCCTTCTTATTAAGACCATGATGCATCTTCATTCTTTGTACCATCTCTGCCACATCCTTACTACACTGAAGTGCTGTGCTTCAAATAGTAGGGCAAAAGCTATTGTGTTCTACTTTTTGGTCCTTTATTATGGAGGAAAGCATGTCAGATCCATGTAGCAGCTTTGTTGAACCTGATCTGTTACCTTTGTTAATGAAATCGGGGGTGGGGGTAGGGGGAGCTTTTCTTACCAATGAGTCATCAGCATAAACACTACTAGCACTCCTGGATTTTAAAGTGTCATATTCCTCCAAATTATATGCCATTCCCTTCAAGTTGCAGCATTTGCCCAAGGAGGGGGAAGCTGATTAACTTTAGGTGGTAGACAGGAGGGACACAAAAAGTCACACATCCAGGAAGAACAAAAACCTGGAAGATTCTTGGGGCCTTCTACCAACAGTGTGAAAAGGAGTAAGTGCAGGGGTGATGGGTGTGTGGACATTCTGACTGGCCAAACTGCAGAAGAACCTGGGACTGTGGTGTTGCATCCAGGCTGTGTAGAGAGGCCAGGGTGACAGATTGAGGAGTGGTCACCCTTGTTGGTGTGGGCTTTCTGCTGATGCAGCTGCTTCTGAATTATCCTGCTCCCTGTAAGTAATCCCTCCCTTACTCCTGATAGTAACCTCAGTAAAAAAAGAACAAAACAAACAAACTCATTGGGTCACCAAATTGGACCTTAATGCAGTCATTACCTTGGTCTGTTCTGGGTTCCTTTTCTGGCATGAGTAGACCTATGTGTTTCATCTTACCAGCAAAAGTCTGTCATACAACAAAGGACTTCTTGCTTCTCTAGGTTATTCTCCTGCTTATTGTCACACATCCCGGAATTACCTCTTGGTACACTAAAGCAAAGTTGCAATTTAAAGCTTAGGTGTTTGGTTTGGTGTTCTTAGCCTTCTAAAAATGAGAACAGTTTGCAAACCCAGATTTCTGTTTGTGTTCACGTTGTGTGCTGGGGTGGACAGTGGAGCAGCAGCTGCCTCAGTGAAGTGGGGAGGGCTGCACGGCATAGGCCCAGAGGTTCCTGTTGTGTCCACCTGGCCCACTTCATTCACTCTCCATTCCTGCCTGGCTCCTGCAGACATGTGATCTACACACCTCTGAGGAAATTTTTATTAATACTGCTCTAACTCTGTGGTCTAGCACTTTTGGCCAGGGGCTGGCAAGATGGCTTGGTTCTAGAGTATGTAGGCTCTGGATACTTAGCAGATAAAGTAGTTAGAATATGGTACTGCTACTTGTCTGCAGAAGACTCGGAGTCGGGCATTGCCTTATTTCAAGGCAACAAAGTCATACTTCCCTATGAAATGTGATTCATTAACTCATTCACATCCTCACTCCCTCATTATGAACTAAGTCTTGTGTGCTGGGTCTTGGGCATACAGTTATAACAGATGGACCTAGCACCTGTCTCAGGAGACTTGGTAGTTGACGGGTTCTCACAAACACATCTGCTATTCTATTCTTAATTCAATTTCTTTCTCTCTTCTTCTTCTTCTTCTTCTTCTTCTTCTTCTTCTTCTTCTTCTTC